GTGTGTGTGTGTGTGTGTGTGTGTGTGTGTGTGTGTGTGTGTGTGGTGTGTGTGTGTGTGTGTGTGTGTGTGTGTGTGTGTGTGTGTGTGTGTGTGTGTGTGTGTGTGTGTGTGTGTGTGTGTGTGTGTGTGTGTGTGTGTGTGTGTGTGTGTGTGTGTGTGTGTGTGTGTGTGTGTGTGTGTGTGTGTGTGTGTGTGTGTGTGTGTGTGTGTGTGTGTGTGTGTGTGTGTGTGTGTGTGTGTGTGTGTGTGTGGTGTGTGTGTGTGTGTGTGTGTGTGTGTGTGTGTGTGTGTGTGTGTGTGTGTGGTGTGTGTGTGTGTGTGTGTGTGTGTGTGTGTGTGTGTGTGTGTGTGTGTGTGTGTGTGTAAAATGGACGTTCGTGGAAGCACCATTCCCCGTCAGATACGCTGTCGCAACCTTTTTCAACAGCCTGTCTTTTTAGCAGCCGACTTTTTTTATAGTTTGTTCACGCAATTTCTCAATCGAAAAAACCAGTGCGAGAAATACTCAGCCGAACCAAGCAAAGCGGACTCCCTCTGATTCTGTGATTTATGTTACATAAGAGATAGATAGTCATCTTAGCACTTCAAAATATCTGGTTTCACTCAACGTTTGCATATTGAACGTGGCTTCAGTTGTATCCTTTTATGCTCTCTTCGCAATTTAAGGTGTATATTAAAAAATAAAGCTGCCCCGTGTTTGTAACACATGATGCATATAATAATGCAAAAATAGACCAGGTATCAATTATGTATTGACAGCGCAGGCCGTGTAAAGGTCCTATACATTGTACGCATGAGAGCTTCCAGTATGTTTGCGAACGTGGTTAATATGATGAGTGCACTCTCTGTACTAAGTGCAATTATTTGGACGAATTTAAATCTCTTACTGCAAGCAAGACAGCATGGTGAGAGATGTACTCTCTTCTTTAAAAGCAGCTATTCTCATGGGACTTGGTTGTTCAGTTCTAGAAGAGGTCTAATAGTTTATATTATCATGAATAGTTTTTTTTTCTCTGCTGTAGAGCCAGAGATATGTTCTATGTGGTATCAATGGACCATTGTATATATTGCAAATAAATCAATGCCCAAAGATATAAATATTGCTGACACAAACAGGCAATCGCATACCATCATTATTACAGTGGTTACCTGACATAGTGGCCTTCCAAGATAACGCAGAAATTTGGCCGCAGTGCCGCTCCCTTCAACTTTATGAAAGTCAAACTTAGGGCCCTTATTTTTTTTAGTTCTGCATAGACTCACCTTCAAGACTTATTTTTAGCGTATGTGAGGTGCTTTTTGTATACTTCTTAGGACACCAGAGAACAAAAGCAAACTCCACGGAACTAAACTTAAATGTGCTGCTTTCGATGCCTATAATAGCGATGGGTAACACGGAAAACCTATTGTGCTGCTGTTCTGGGTTTTCAATACAAAGGCAAATGCACTGGAATGCATACAACTGCACAATAGGCGGTTGTTTCTGTTGGTGCGATTCGAACGCAGTTTCCATTGCTCGTCATCGCAGAAGACAGCTTGTTTGTTTAAAACAAGGCCAATTTTTGTAGGTGCCTAGTCAGAAAGTTCTTAAAACGACAAAAAATAGCTGCTATCGAGGAACAAGAACCATTGATTGCACAAATAGCAGTATTTATAACCACGACCAGCTTTATAGAAGTCATTTGCTTCTAATAGTTGCATTAGAAAATTCAGCTTTTTTTTTTTTTTTACGGAGCCACATTACCTACCTAGTTATTGCCTACATAAGGCTTTTTTGACTAGCTGTCGTAAGACGCACGTTGCATTTACCAACAAACAATGGACTCATCGTCGATTATTTTATTCCTGCTTGTGACCGATTATATGACCTTTTTCACTATCATTTTCATAGAATTTAACTTTGATAACCAATACAGGTCTCCCAAAACAACATGTTCATTTATTCACAGAAAACTACCTGCTCTGTGGAGGAAATGGTACTCGCCTTGGAGTTTTCATTGTATACTTACACATAGACATCACAATTGGCATGTTTCGCCGGTCATAGACCCCGATAGCCGATCATGGATGTTTCGCTGCATGCGTCCCCTAAGATGGTTAGGCAATTACCAACAAACAAAGAAGCGCTTGAGTCTGCTAGTCGTGATTGTGCAGGAATCATTCTCGCGTGGCACGAAAATTGTCTAACTTTAACACAAGATGGGCCACGCACGCTCGCTTTCGAGAAATCACACATAGAGGGAAGGGTTTATGAGTAACAGGTGCAAGCGCACGAACATAAATGCTTCACTCGGAGAGTCACAGACCATGGCCCCGCATGCAGGTTCTTTTTGTAATGTGGACCACGCAGTTGGTACATGGAATAGTAAAAGCGAGACGTAATATCTCCGAACGACATCACCAACAACGAGCTATGCGCTACAGACCGGAGGTTGCGCGGGATATGAGTGTAGCATGCTTCCTTCCTCTTTCATTCTCTTTTCTCTCACTATCTACACCTTTTTCTCTCTCCTTAAGTGGTAATCTCTTACTCTTTTTGTCTCTACATTTCGTTTTTGTATTTCTCGTTTTATAATTCTTTCTGTACTACGATGTTCTCTTTCCCCTTCTCTTTTTCCTACTCCTCACCGTCGCGTCTCTCCTCAGACTCGCTTACCTTCCCCACACTATTTCACCATGCTACAAAAGTCATTACTATATTCTGCCAGTGCGACCATCAATAACGAAAAAATAAGCTGGAATAATTGTTCAGTGAACAGGAAGCGCGGAAGGAACACACACACGAAGCAAAGAGGAGCACACTTCACGAGCGCTCCTGCGCTCCCAGCACGCTGAACAATTATGAATTACCAGCTAGCCCATCTTTCCATCCTATTGCAAGCCGGATAGCTCAGTGGATATGACGTTAGCTTTGGAGCATGGGTGTGTGGGCTCAAACCGCCTAGGATAAAACTTTGCTTAGATGTGAGCCCGCTGTTTGACTCACGTGTGTAACGCCGCACGTACCAGTGACCGTCTGAACACGCCGCCATGCGTCGTCCCCCTCGCGGCAGGGTTGGGAGCAATGCCAAGCAGGTCACACTGCGGCTGCTAGTTGACGTCACGCTACCCTCGCACGCTTCTCTCACACGCTTCTCTCGCAGGTGCGTGCTGACATCACTCTCTCCGTCACCCGCGGCACGCTAGCCGCAGCGGCCGCAGATGCCGGCTCCTCCGCCTGCTCACAACACCTCTCTCGCTTAACGCTCTCCACCGCCCGCAACGCCCGACCACACGTCGAGTGGAAACAGCCTCTCGGCTCGCTTATCTGTGATGAAACACGAAACCCAACCCACCTCCCGTGTCTTTACGTTTCAAACAAACGTTTACTCGTGCAAACGCTACACTGAGTTTTGCTTCAAACAATTCTTCCAGCACCCGTTTCAACCGCCTCAACGCCGTCCGCATCGCTACTGCTGCACATGTCATCAGGATTCCTTTCAAGAAAATGGTTCATAATTTTGGGGGCGAAGCTCCGTATGCCGTGGGTTGTGCATCTGCGATGTATGTAGTCATCGTAGTAGTAGGTAGCCCCACAACGGCTTGACTAGAGGAGCGGAACGCGCGCACCCTTTTCACTTGAGAAGGAAACCCGCGCACGTTAATCATGAAAGTATATAGTTGTTTCTGATGAAATAACTTACAGAGACTTGTATTGGTGACTTATTCTCCAATAAAATTTGCCTTGATTTTGATGCTTACTAAAAAAACTTGTATCAGAAATACGCACAGTTGGGCACTATCTCACCAGGAAGGGTTGCCACGTTAAACTCGTGGGGCGTAACCTCTTTTCTTTTAGAAAGGTTTAGCGAGGGTTATGCGGCAGTGCCATCAATATAGTGAACTAGAACATAGCCATCAAGTAGAGGCGGTTAAAGGTTGGAAGTAGACACGAAGCTTAGGCCGTTAGAAATTGTGCTTGGGCCACCTCTCATTTAGTCGTTAGAATGTCCGCTGGATGGCGGTTCTTCTATATGATCAATATATGATGAAAAGATGTGAGATGACGGTACTTGCAGTATTCACTAGATGGACGGACGCATGAACAGGTGGACAGACCAACACATGCACGGATAGACGCACGGACGGACGCACGAATGAACGCAGGGATGGACGCACGGATGAACGCACAGATGGACGCATGGATAGACGGACGCATGGATGAATGCATAGATGGATGGACACACGAACTGTCACACTGACTGACGCACGGACGGATGGATGGATGGACGCTTCGCCCTACTCATCATCACGCACTCCGTAGATATGCTTGATTGATTGATATGTGGGGTTTAACGTCCCAAAACCACCATATGATTAAGTAGATAAGCTGTGATCTTTTTTCGGCACGAACTTTCTTTTTTCGCATATTTTTCTTTCCTACACTGTGTACGTTTCTCTTTTTCTTTCTTACATTCTTCCTAAATTTCTTTCGCTCTTTTTGTGCTTGTTGTCTCACCCATTAAGATTATTAAAAGCCATGCTGTAGTTCTGACGACTGAAATTTGCCCAATTTCGTGGTGCGTTCCAGCTATATATAATAACTGTATCGCTGTATGGTCAAAAACTTATGGCTTCGGTTTAAAAAAACAGCTTCGATGTTAAAAAACCTATGCATACTACATGACCATCTTTACAACAGTCTACGCTACCGCCAAGAAACAGACGTAATTCAGTGTTCTCTCAGTAGTGACAAATACGCTCAGCTAGTATAACAGCAATCAACAAAAAAATCACCTCATGTTCCCAACTCCCGCGTTCTGGTCGACGAAAACATTATTCCACCCAAACACTCACAGAACTCGGCGTGACTTTCTCGGTGCGATGACTGACACCATAGCCACACACAGAAGCAAAATGAGCGTGTTAAATCTTATCATTCATTGTGTTTCTGTTGGAAAGGCACAAGTCAAAAGTGGCAGTCTGAAACAGCAAATTTCATATTTCTGGCTTTGCAGTTCTTGAATACGACAGAGCCTATATGGACGTTCAACACAACCGCGTACAGAAGGCGCCTCTGCAAAGTGGATTTAATGCTTCAAAATGACGGAGGAACAAATCATTTTCAATAGGTCTTACTTCAGAACACGGCGCAAGTAAGATATATTTCTACATAGCAAGAAATTTTTGCTGGCATGTTACTCATTTTCATCTCTTCAAATTCTAGCGTTACATCAACGAAGACTGTCACGGGGAAGTTCAGTGAGGAATTTGAAGACGAGATGACTACCGGCCCAAAAGGTATCGCTAACTCTTAGTGCACGCTCATTGATTTCGCCGTTCCAGATACTATAATAATTCTTTTTACCGATTCATTCGTTATTTCAAATCATATGGCCAACCTATGTGGCAGACAAGCGTCGTCAATCTACTGATTCGATAACGTCACTAAAACCATAACTACCACGCATTTTTGATCACAGGTAAAACAATATTTACCACCGTAAAGACTGATTCTAAATGTGTTCCTCTCCAGTAAAGCGTACAGCAGGCTTTTCAACGCTTAATTCATTTTACCTGCTAATGCATATTTTTAGAGTTTCAGGATCAGGTATTGCATGAACAGCAAATGTCTCGCAATGTTTGTTGGGTTGTTTAGTTAACTGTATAAGAATCAGTGCCTAATCTCAGACGTTTTTAATTTGGCGTCAGCGTATGATTTGTTGACAAAAGGCCATAAAATAGCTGCGGTGAAGCTACGAAAATTGCTTGCTAAACGACACTCTTTCTTCTCGGGCCATGTACACACATTGTCTCATAATCTTACGCACTGATTCAGCAGTGGCGAAGGGCCTAAATTTATTTCAGAGGAGGCACGCCCTAATACGGTGTAGTGACAGCGTGTCAAAATAGCTTTATTCAATGATGCTCGAAAAAAAAATGTCAGAAAGGTGAAGCTGAAGGCTTGCGACAAAAAATCCGTAAGCACAAGTTGTGTGCTGAGTCCAATGTTTGGGCAAGTGGACTTGTATTTCTCAAGGCTGGAATGAAACCATTTCTAGCATTGTTACGCATTTTAAGCCTTGTTACACAAAGCTTGTTTGCGTATTTTCAGTCAGTCGCATCACTCAAGATGCATGACTCAATAAGCTTTTCTTTACAATTATGGTTCAAGATGGAAAATGCTAGCTTTTATTTTTTTACATAATTCCCCTTCAGAAGTGACACCCCTGGAATAAAACTTGTATTGTGACCAAAGAGCTTTTATATGTCTGCTTTGCATGGTACATTTGGTGGGTAACTTCCGACAATTCCCGTCTACTTTTTCAGGTTCTGTAGTCGTTGCACTAGAACAACTTTTTTACGCTAACGAAGCTCACACATGTGGAATATTTATGGTGATTCCAGAACCCTTCGGTGAGTTCCGTTTGGTCAGTTTCTCTTTTAGTGCAGCGCTGGTTCTTTGGTAAAGTGCTGCCCCTGATCCCCACAGATTCTATATACACTTCTACAGTGATAGGAAAAAAACATGCTCACTGGCCCTTAGAGTCATAATTTGCTTATTATGTCCGCAATAACCTTGTAAAAAAGTTTTATTGCTCCCTATGAAAAATGAATACTATAAAATACGTACTGTTCAATGGGAACGTATGACAACCACATTGTCGTAAACTAATTTCGTTAAGCTGGCGATTTGCTGTGTTTTATTGCCCGTTTGTTGTAATGGACGGCATAAACTAAAAACAGATTTTAACAGATGCAGTTGCGACGGTCTATTCTTTTGTGCCCTTATTCATGTTCTGTTTGCAAAAGGAGAGAAGCGCCCGTCTTCCACACCAGTGAGAAATCGACAAACACACGTACAAAATGAAGTAATGTTCTTGACCACATGTCGAAAAATCGTATATGTCAAAACCCTGCGGATATATTCAGTGAACTAAGAATTGTCGCAGCAACGTCAATGAAGCTCACCATATGAGAAGCATATTAACATAAAACGTTTATGCATCTAGCAAATTTGTCCACTTGTAGTGCGGAAGAAAATCCACCTGAGGACTGCCAAGTTGATTTAGGCAATTTTCTTGCCTGGCACTTCTACATTGTTCTCTTTTTTCAGGTTGTGCTCTTGTTTGTGGGGTAGAGGGGGGCGGGTGGGATCACACAAATTTGTTTTACGTCAGTAGAGAAGTCGGGGCGAGAATTTTCTTTCTATAAAGCTTCGCGAATTGCCCTCTATTAGTGTTCAGCAGCTCTCACATTTTCCGGGCAATTTAAACAGGACCGATTGTGAAAGACAATGTCGGCTAGTTGTGGCCTTTCGGTAATAATTGGGACTTCAACACGCATCACTTACTCTGGGGTAGTTCGAAGATCAACGCTAAAGGAAGCAACCACGTGGACATTCACATCTAAGCAATGACATGCGTTTTATAAACGATGGTCGCACTACATATCTGCGTGGTCTTACGTACAGCGTATGTCTAGACTTCACCCTAGTATTGAAAGGCTTCCGGTCGGAAGTTCAGTTGTTTCCAGACATAAAATACATGCTAATTGCCATATTCGTACTCCTCTTTCCATACCTACCTATATTGAGTTGGCCAGCATGGTTTTGTACTGATCAGTATTGCTCCGCTTTTATGATGGGACAGTATGCAGATGTATAAATTCAGTAATAAAATGCCTCACACACCGGATTCTGTACCTCATAACAGCTAAGCTTTTCAAATGCATCACGAGCTGCTGCTAACATAGGGTGTTCTTTTTTTCTTCTTTACCAAAAACTTCCATTTTGTCGACCTGTGCCTTCGCTAATGTTATTAAAATATGCAACTCCTGTGAATATTTATTCTTATTACAATATCCTGCATTGGAAACTCTTGTACTACCCTCATGTTTTTATTGTTTTTAGGTGCGTACCCTTATTACGATCTGCGTGTTAAAAATTCGTCCATCTTAAGAGGCAGAAGTGGCATCGACCCTAATTGTACCATAGAATTCGACGGCATCGGCCCACCAGGTCAAGTTGCTTATGAGCCTTGGTGTCAAGAAATCATGTTCCCAAGGCGTCGTTTCAGCTAGTTGACAAATACAACTAGCTCTATGCTCACCTACAAAACTGCACAGAGTTCGCCATCAATTCACAATGTTGTTTCCAACAGCAAAGAAGCAGCAGTCAGAAACAGCTATTATCATGTATTCATTGCTTTGTAATCTACTTATTACATGAATTTTCTTGTTCTACCCCACAATGAGAATAAAAAATGCCTAATATTATCGAGAAATTGACACGTCGTGGAAAAATTACTGTTCACTGACTCTTTACATGTTCGCGTTTTTGAAACATACATTTATCTACAACCCTTATCTTCGCTTATGCATAGATGCATGAACTCCGGGACATTCACTGCTGATTTTCTGGCGCTTGTATGGAAACAAAAGTCGATGAGCCTCCGAATAGCAGGTGCTCTTCAATGGCGCTTCTGAAAGCAATTTGCGAAACAAAAAAAAACAGACAAGGAGCAAGCCGACTTATAATTCTACTTGTGACCAAGGCAGCTCTTGGCCTACCTACCAGTACAAACACACAACACATTCTGCAACTGGGGTTGAATAATACCTTCCTGGCAGCTACCACACTCATCCCCCAGCGAGAACGACTCTGAAGCATACCAAAGCAGAAATTTTGTTTTCAGAGACTTTGATTTCCTTTATCACCGCAATATTGTTCAGAGGCTACCAACCTACTCTCACAAAATCTAAGACAACGCATTGTAACACAGCCCATCCCACACAATATGCATCCGTGCCACCATATAAGACGCCAAAACATCGAGTACAGAGGCAGCAGTGACTAAATGATCACTCTAACGTTTATTTTACGGACGTCGGTCCCTACCCAAAGCAGCAAGGACAATCTCCCACTTTCGTTCTCGCTGTAGTCAACCGGGGTAAACTAGTCAACTCCGCGTCCACACTGTCCTCTTCCTCCGCATCTGCCGAGGTAACTGCTATCGCTCTCGCCATTCGAATGGCAGACCAACTGGGTATCTCTGCTCATGGGGTCTCACACTCTCAGGCCACTTGTCGTATGTGCCTCAGGGGCGTAATGCCCGCAAATGCCATCCAGCTGCTGGGAAGTTGACTCCGCTTTGACCATTGGTTTGTCCGGTGTGCAGCCCATATGAGCCAGAATGGTGATTAACTAGTTCATTGCCAAGCTTGAGTACACAGCGGCTGAGCCCCACCTTCACCCGCCAATGAAGAAGATACAGATGAAGAAACGACACGGTGTGTAATCTCAGACAAACATAGATTACATCGCCTAATCGGAGCTCCTTACACTAGGACCTCAACCGACATCAAGCCTGGAACTAGTACCATCTGCAGACTAATACAATCCCGAATCTGCATAAGCTTCCCATCATATCTCATCATATCTCCAAAGAGATATCCCACGCAGCTTAAACAGTCCTTGTGCCCACTCAATGAAAAACTTCACCTATACAATACATATTTTGCTTGTTATTAAAAATATGTCCTGTTATCATCAGAGAGAACAGGGGTGGAAGTTTGTGCAACGCATAAAGATAACTAAGGAATGCTCGAGTTTATGTGCAAGGTTCTTTATTAGGTACCGAATTGTGGAGGTCAGTGGTAATTTCACTCAGCATGACCTATAATTGTACTGTGAAGCCGTAAAACGATGCTTTCGTCCGCAATGCCAAGAGTGCATGCGCTTGGCGCTGCTTCAGTATTTGTTTAGGATGCCCCTTTTTTTAGTTTTTGTTTGGTCGCGTCTACTCTCTTCACTCGGTCTATACCCGCACATTCCTACATTGGTCACCCGCAAATCTGGGGCAGCCCGCGACCTCGAGTAGCAACGTCACTAGGACTTCTACGCCCACGACCGACGCTACTACCATCATTTCGAATCGCTGATGCCGCATTCTGGTTTATGCAAGTAAAATCGCAGTTCCAAGAAGGACTGGTGTGCTCCAACTAAAGACAAGGCCACTGAAAAGTGAGACAGGGACAAGCGCAAACTTTCAACTTATTTTATTATTGCTCATGCTTCAAATATATGCCTAGATAACATAGTCACATGGGCCCATGGTAAAAACAAAACAGCTTACAAGAAGCTGCGTAGGAACTTACGCTCTCTATAAAATAAGAATATAAGGTGTCATTAACACAAGCATTGCTTCTTGCAGAAATATGAAAGGCTTCCAACAGTTCGCGGACTGTGGCACCACTGCTCCTACCCCAAATATTCATCTCTCTGAAAATCGGTGAGCACCTTCAAGCTTGACAATGTGCAAGCAAACGAGCATTCCCGTAATTCCTAAGTGAAAGCTCATGTATCCTTGCAAGGTTGTTCACACAACCCCCGTATGGTCTACAAAAGAGGTCCCACAAGACAACAGTTTGTCATAGGCGACGCCAGTCGGACATTTTACGCACTCAAAAGCGGGCTTTTTTTTCGCAACCACTAGATTTCTTCTCGTCCGAGGAAATTTCGTGACAAAGCCCAGCCCGCTTACGCGGGGCAGAAAATACCATCGGCACATCGTGCTTACTCCCTATCATTTTCATCGTGGGGGAAATGCGATGCCGATGAGACCTAATGCCTGTACGCCTCTTGCGATGCAGGCCAGGGCCCGCGCTGGAACAGGCTGCTATGGCATTTTATGCGTATTTGCCTTTATATTCGCACACCAGCTTATCTCGAAATATGAACCAACTCACCCAGCTTCAAGTTTTACCGAATTGTAGTTCACAGCTCGACGCATAATACCACACCTTACAAATACCACACCATCGTAAGCAGTCTACCACCGACCATAGACAGTTAAATACGATATATTTATCGGACCCACCTTCTCACAAAGCCTATGCAACACTAAAAAAACAACCTCATCTGACGTGTCACGCCTTTCCAATCGCAGCGGCTACAGCAATTGTTTCGCGACACTGACCTCGGTGACCATCGTCAGCTGTTGCGACACGTACGACTACTGCGAGGCGAAACAAAAAACACTGCTGATGGAGCATTATTCCTTCCGAGAACTCTTTTTTGCAAAATCCGTCTATAAATGTCTGCTTGGTTATGACTCCATCAAAACAGAAAGGCTTACCTGCAGTCGCCGAGCTGTCTGACCGGCTCGTGGCCATCGTACCGTTCACACTACTGGCTGCCTTTTTAGCGCAACTGGCTCATGACGAACTTCTGCAAAGGCGTGAAGATACTTTTCGACTCAAAGAGACGTTATCAGCTTTGCACACGAGCAAGAAAGCACAAAAATTAAGCGAGCCACACATGTAGCTATTCAAACCTATGAGGCGAAATATATCTTGACATCATCGGGGGTTTGTAAATGATTGATTGATTGATTGATTGATTGATTGATTGATTGATTGATTGATTGATTGATTGATTGATTGATTGATTGATTGATTGATTGATTGATTGATATGTAGGGCTTAACGCCTCAGAACCACCATGTGATTATGACAAATGCTGTAGTAAAGGACTACAGAATTTCGACCACCCGGGATTTTTCAACGTGCGCCGAAATCTGAGCACAAGGCATACAGCATTTTCACCTTCATCGAAAATGCGGCCGCACCCCGCCGCGGTGGTCTTGTGGATAAGGTACTCGGCTGCTGACCCGCAGGGCGCGGGTTCGAATCCCGGCTGCGGCGGCTGCATTTCCGATGGAGGCGGAGATGTTGTAGGCCCGTGTGCTCAGATTTGGGTGCACGTTAAAGAACCCCAGGTGGTCTAAATTTCCGGAGCCCTCCACTACGGCGTCTCTCATAATCATATAGTGGTTTCGGGACGTTAAACCCCACATATCAATCAATCAATCAATCAAAATGCAGCCGCCGCTGTCGGGATTCGATACCGCAACCTGCGGGTCAGCAGCTGAGTACCTTAGCCACTAGACCAACGTGGCATGCTTGTGGTTCGAAAATGCTGCGCGTAATTGTGTCCCACCTAGAGAGTGCTCGGGAAACGACCTTGGCAAGCACTGAGGAAGACCAGTGCTTCTGTGTCACTTTCAAGTCGGCCCTCGGAATTTTTCAACGGGGCTGTTTTTCTATTCGACACAGGCGACGAGGTTAGCGTGGTACCCGCATCACCAACCGAAAGGAGAGGCTATTAAAAGGGCCAAGCAGCAAGGACTTCTCAAGATTTTGTGTTATACTGGTGCAAGTGGAATACCAAAGGAGGCGTCTATGGTAAATCTGGTGCCATATTACCAGCGTGCAGGGAATGATAGCTGGCCGGGAGTGTAGCGATCGTCATCGCTAGCGCCAGCCAGGACAGAAGGAGAAAAGAGACGAAGCCAGAGGAATGGGCCAATAAACCGATGCAGTCGTATTGTCTGCATGAAAACAACTGAAAGGAGAGGCAATGTACCCTGGTACGTTGCCTCTCCAAGCCGTCAATGACACGGTGATGCGACGATACGGACAACGTTCACTAACGCTAAACTTCAGATCCAACAGAACGTTCAACTGGGTGCTCGTAGCCGCGCTGAGGTCAAGTTTGCCTTATTGGGCGCTGACTTTCTGCAATACTTCGGTCGGTTGGTCAATGTACAGAACACATGGCTTCAGGATCCTGTGTGTCGTGCAGTGCTGTAAAGCAAGCTTTGTTTGGGCCCTCCTCTCAGTGCCAGCTCACTCCACCCGTCCAGAGAATCACCGCTTCACCGCCATAGTTCAGCAGGTCTATGAGCTGACGCGAAAACAACAGGCATGCGCCGAAGTGAAATATATCGAGTATCACATAGAAAACACAGGACCACCGCTCAACGAACTGCCAGAGGCGTCGTTCACACGAGAGGCTATGGCTAGTCCGACAGGTGTTTTCGCGTACGATAAAAGTCGGCAATGTACGCCCTTGGTCCAGCCCGTATGCGTCACCTCTTCGCCTACTGCCCAGATCAAAAGGTAGCGATTGGCATCCTTGTGGGAATTATAGCGTGATCAACCAATGCAGCTTTCTCCATGGCTCAACCGTATGACTGTACCGAACCTCTCTCCAGTGCCACACGTCCACGACCTCACATCCTGCCAGCGAAGGGTGCTTTCATGCACAATACCAAGGGCACATGTGCGAGGAGCCACATGAATTTTCTTCGTGATGTTCGGAGAAATAAAAGTGCAGTTGTTGTTTGGGACGCGTGTCGCTTCTGCTCTGTTCGCTCGGCCTATTCGCGCGTTCCAACACTACCAAATATATCACTGGTATG